CAACTGATGGAAAGTTGCTTCGTAGACCGCGAATATTTGTAAAAGATATATTAAAATATTTAGGTGGTGGGGATGGTTTTTTAGGTTTTAAATTTTTGGTTACTTTGGTCATGATTTGGGTTTAATGAGAACTTGACTCATTTATAGATAGAGCACAGCCTCCTAATCAATAAGCTATGCAGTTGTCTCAGTCCTGTTAATTAACCCTATGCCGTGACAAAGGGCTCCTTATGTGGCCTTGACAATGCACACCAAAAGCATTAACAGGGACACCATCCATGCGCAACATGGCACTGTTAATACTCTGATGTTTTGCAGCTGTTGATGGAATCAGCCTCTCTGAGAGCTACCACAGAGTTCGGGAAACCTTACTACCAGCCGGCCTCAGAACTATTAAACTGAGTTTTAGAGCTGTACCCTCATATGGAGATAACAGGAAGAGCTGCATAGCCATTATCAAGGAGGCATAAGCAAAATTCTATGAGTAGAGTCAAGGAGATCCAGCATTCATCATCCTAGGCAGAAAACAATGTAACACAGGTTACATCTACGCCAGCCTAATAGATGAAGAAGGGGTTCGAGGCTGGTTAGCAGAATTTTTCTGCTTACCCCTAAAGTCTTTGCCTAGGAGGCCTTCTACAAGACAGTAGCTGGATGCAGTTAACATCTGCCCAATATGAGTGTTTTTATCGAGACACCATCTCTAGCCTTTACTCAACCAAGAGCCCCAAGGCAGGGGATGTTTAGCTGGATGCAGTTAACATCTGCCCAAGATGAGTGTTTTTATCGAGACACCATCTCTAGCCTTTACTTAACCAAGAGCCCCAAGGCAGTGGATGTTTAGCTGGATGCAGTTAACATCTGCCCAAGATGAGTGTTTTTATCGAGCCACCATCTCTAGCCTTTACTTAACCAAGAGCCCCAAGGCAGGGGAATTTTTAGTCGGAGTTTATTTCTCCTAGCCTTTGCATAAGAAGAACACACTCTGCAAGGCAGCAGGGCTTGTGGCAGGTGGTACTGGGTTACGTGATACCAGTAGCAAGATTGACATTCAACAATAAATTTTAAATTTTATACAATTGAACCTGTCATTACGAAAAGGATACAAGTCTATTTATTAAAACTTTTCAAAATCAACAAAAACATGTTTTTTATTATCATAAAGTCTATGCTGCTAGAGAAAATAAACATAAAAGTATATAAATAAAAAACGTATATACCTTATGTATATTTTATTTTCTATAAAAATAGCATAAATCATACAGAAACTTTTTATCCAAATTTATATACTAATTGTTAAAGGTTTTCGACTTTTGTTCTTTTCGAAATGGTAGGTTTAATTATTCTTAAATTTTATACAATTATTCTTTAGCATTCAAAAGTTGTAGCCATATAAAATATGTAACACCCTCAAGTTGAACTTTAGTTATAATTTTTGAACACTGAGAGATTTTACTATGAAATTGAAATTTTATTGATGAAAATAACTCTAATTGTGTTTAGTAAAAAAAATATTTTACGAATTGTTGCTCACACGTGTGGGCCTAAATTTAAAGGTTTTTTTTTTTGTTCCCATGCTCAAATCATCGCAATTTTTTGCAAAGCATCTTTATTTGACATTAATATAAACATATAAATGTTTAGAATTTGTTCCATCTCTTTAGAATGAGAATTTAGATATAACTACATTCCATGTTTTAAAATCACATTCACATAATTTACTTATCTCTAATAGTAAAAAATATGCTGGATTCGCCCCTGCCACATAAATGTGAAATATACCTTGTCGACAATCCAATTTAAAGCATGCAGAGGATACAGTTTATTTTCACTTTTAGATTTATTTTTTAGATAAGAAAAAAAACCTTAAGGCTGCAACTTTAACATCAGTACAAATTGTTCTAGTTGAAAAAAAAAAAATCTTCTAAATACTTTAAAATGACCTTAAAGAATTTTTTGATGAACTTAAATAAAACTTCCCTGTAAAAAAACTTTTTTGAAATTCCGTTTTGAAATTATTTCTTTGAACTCAGCAGTGGCGCAGTGGTAAGAGTTCTGGCTCAGAACCCAAAGGTCCGAGGTTCGACGCCATCTCTAGCCCAACAAGCGACATTGGTACGGAAGGAGGCGTGAACTTTCTGTTAAATGCTCTCCCGCGGTGCTCTATGATAAGACCGTAAGGACTTGTAGGATCACCTAAATACATAAAAAAAAAAAAAAAAAAAAAAAAACTCTCCCTAAGTGGGAAAAACAGAACTCTCCAAAAGCTTAAAAGTTAATGCTAAACAATAAAACTAAATAAGCAGCGCAGATTTGATGTTTGTTTCATAGACTTTCAGGGATTGTAAAGGTTCTAAATCTAAGTAGATTTATAATTAAACTGTGAATAATTACAATGGTTGAAGCTTGGAAACAAAATTACCCAAAAAGTTTGCAGTCCTAACTCTTAATGTGAGAGTAATAAGATAATAAAAAATTTTATATTATTATCTTAAAATAAATTTAAATTTATTGAAAATTTATGAATATGAGGGTATTGACATTGGAGGGGGGGGGAAGGACATTGGGGTTGAGGCTATATCTTTATTGGGCTATTTTTTTAAAATCCTGCGTCTGACTCTGCAGTGGGTATTATAAGTTTCTATTTTTTTTATCAGAGTAATCTTTTTCAAAGGTTTTTGAAAAATAAGATTCTTTCTCCAACTTGCTAATAACGTTTTTTAAATTTTGATAAAATCATATTAACAGTTAGCATACTACTTTGACTCAAAGTGTGCCAGTGTGGATTTCTTTCTTTTTAAGAAATAAATGCAAACTTTGCAGAACACCAAATATCTATTGATAGATATTTGGTAAAATAGAATTGATGCACTCACTGGCACTCCAATTTCCTAATAAGTTTAACAAATCCTCAGCACAAGCAAATCCAGAAGCAAACTCAATCTGGTCTTTTAAACGTGTTTTTATCAAGTCTGCCTGACATATAGCTTTTACACTTATCTACCTGACATATAGCTTACATTTTTTTATGTCTGCCGACAATAATTGTCTACGTCTTATATTTCCATTAGGTCTAAAATTCAAATGCTAATTACTATTTTTAATTTTTAATTTCCAGAAAACAAAAAAAGTGTGGTCTTTTGCTTAGAATATCTAACAAGTGACCTAAGGACGTCCTGAAGTCCGTAAGAGTTCTGAAAGACTTCCTTAGGATGATACGTGCCTACAGAGTACATTGTAACTACTAATAAAGTATTGTAGACAGTTTTACATGAGAAATATAAGAGTTAAAATCTTAAACTTTAGGGATAGCCCCTCAGTAGTCTCCTCTTCCCTAACCCTAAGAAATCAAGAAACAGAATATTATTTTTAAAGATTATGTTATCATTTTTAAAGATTAATTGATGAAAGTTATTTTGTAAACACTAAAATGAGAATTATTAAAGGTTATTAAAGAAAGGGTGTGTAAACATGAGTATTATCACGTAAAACTTTGTAACGTTATTTGTCTGATAACGTTTTTTTGATTGCGTAAAAATGTCAACAGGAATTTTGTCAACAAAAAAAATATACGTTGGTGATATACTTTGGCATGGTAAACACGTCATACAAAATCATCTTAAACTTGTCGCTTTTAAAACTAAAAATAAAATAAAATTAGGTTTATTTAAAAAAAAATTTTTTATTTATCTCCACAGATATTTCAGTAACTTGAAAAAAGTACTTGGTGTTTATTTCCATTATAAACTTGTTGGTATTGAATGTTCACTTTCGCTGTTCACAAAAATGAACAACTATTTTACAAGGTTTTGACTTGATTTGCAAGCAACATTTTGTTGCTTGGCAAATGACTATTTTGTTTTTCTTAGTCCAAGTTTTGATGCGAAGCGTAATAGGAACAGTTTAAAGTATATATTTTTTTAATAAGACAGTGTTTTTAATAAGACAGTGTTTTTAATAAGACAGTGTTTTTAATAAGACAGTGTTTTTAATAAGACAGTGTTTTTAATAAGACAGTGTTTTTAATAAGACAGTGTTTCGCAAACTTAAAGAAGTTTTTATACTACAATAAAATATAACATAAATATTTTATATATAAAATATTTCTTTATATTAAAATTTTTAATTTCAATAAATTTAAAGAAGTATTATTATAATTTTAAACAATATTTCTTTTTAAATTATATTATACGCTATATTATATATTATAAAAGTAAAAAGCAATCTAAAGTTTTTTATATTCATTTATTAATATTTCAATGTGTGTTAGAAAGAATTTTTGTTTTTTGTTGCTGACATAAATCAAACTAGGCTGCTCGAAAAAAAAATGCTATGTTTTCTGATGCAAAAAGAAAAGAAGTTTGCACAAGCAACACCTATATTATTGGTCAATTTTATCATTAGATAATATAATCTATTTATTTTCAAAACCAAAAATAAGCAGGCAAAACAACTAAATAACATAAAGTACTTTAGTTACATAAATTAGTAAGTAACTTATGGTGACTCTAGTTTGTTGGTAATAAATTCTTTAGCAATTTTTTTGTTAATTAAAAATTTTATTAACTGCACCTTTTTTCTAAAAAAAATGATATCAACCACACACGCACACACACGCACACACAGATATATATATATATATATATATATATATATATATATATATATATATATATATATATATATATATATATATATATATATATATATATATATATATATATATATATATATATATATATATATATATATATATATATATATATATACATATATATCTATATATATCTATATCTATATATATATATATATATATGTATTATGTATATATATATATATATATATATATATATATATATATATATATATATATATATATATATATATATATATATATATATATATATATATATATATATATATATATATATATATATATATATATATATATATATATATATATTTCAAGTTATTATGAAAATAAGTATATTAAAAATTACCAAAAGGATGAATGTTCCACCTAACTCAGCGAGAAACTCGCGAAAGTTATCCATCACAAACATAATTGTTTTATCACGAAGCTTCATCTTTTTAATCTGAAAAAAAATTTATAACTTTTATTGAGCCATCTTTAAAATTTAAATTTTAATCTGATACAAATTGCGATATAATTTACGTAAGTTATGTGGTTTTGTTGTTACAACATTTATAAATATTATGTAAAATATGTATTTGCTGTTATAACTATTATAAAATCCATTACTTAATATATTTAACACAAGTGCTCAATACGACAAAGATAAATTTAATCAAGTCCACTTATGATTCAAGCAAAAAACAGTGATCGCTGTCATCGCAATCGAAAATGTCAATACACACTTTTGACAAATTGATAAAAACATTTTATTTGACAAACAACCATTGATATATGTTCAGTATTTAAATACTTTGTTTGATACTTATATCAATCATAGTTATATTAAATGTATCGCTTTTTAAAATTTCTTTTCAAAATTTTTGTTATTTGTTCCGGAGTATTGAGAATTACCCGTACTTGGATTGTCTCTTAAATGTCAATGAAGCGAAGAACAAGAGAAATTTTATAGCTTGATATATAAACAATTTTCAATATTGAAAACAAACGAAAAAAAAAAAAAAATACAAGTAAGAACATTAGGAAGACATTACTACTTAGATTCATGTAAAAGTATATAAGTATAAAAATACATTAGTTTTAAAAGTTCTTCGATAAATGTATAACATATATTGCTTAAATAAGTTATAAAAAACAGTCTGTAAAAAATATAGTGTAGCAATTGATTTAATTAATTTTAACAAGTGAAAAAAATCAATTTTACACTAGTCAGTATATTTTCGAAGTATTGCTAAGAAATACCTTGGCAATTTTGACAGAGTTCACTGTTTATTTAGTATGAGATTTGCCATCTTCTCCGATGGCGCTTTTATGGCATTTAATCATTGTAGACATATTTGTTTTACATAATTATAAATATATGGATGTTTCAAGTTTGTTCCATGCATGGAAGTTTGCTTTCTTATTTTTTTTGTGTTTGATCTCAAACACCAAAAAAAAAAAGATGCATCTGCCTCTGATACATGGTATTAAGGTATTATTATACATGATACACGGTACTAAAGTAATTATCATAGATAATACATGGTAATATGGTAATTATCATAATACATGGTAATATGGTAATTATCATAATACATGGTAATATGGTAATTATCATAATACATGGTAATATGGTAATTATCATAATACATGGTAATATGGTAATTATCATAATACATGGTAATATGGTAATTATCATAATACATGATAGTATGGCAAGAATTATACATGGTACTACGACTTAATTATAAATTAAAAATAGTAAATTTTTAGAATGTCTAAAAATTTACTATTTTTAATTACTATTTCTCTTTTTACTATTTTACTATTACATAAAATAGTTAAACTATTTTACATAACAGTTTAACTATTTTACGTAAGAATTTTATTAATCTAAATATTCATCAACTAAATCAATCGATGACAATTTCATTTTTTAATTTACATTTTAGAAAATTATTATCCATTTTGCTTACTTTAGTACGGTCTTCTCACAAAGCACTGCGAAAGAGCATTTAATTGAAAGTTCACGCCTCCTTCCGTACCAGTGTCACTTGTTGGGCTGGAGCCGGCGTCGAGCCTTGGACCTCTGGGTTCTGAGCCAGAACTCTAACCACTGCGCCACGGCTGCTCATATATATTAGTTTTTTCAATTTTATTTTTTAATCTAGACAGTTTTTCAAGAAAAAATAGAAATATAAGAAAAATTATTAAATTTTTTTTTTATTCTTCGTACGCAGATATTGGCTGCGCAAACCTGCGAGATTATGCATGCGTTATTAGCGATTACTTTTATATCTATTTCAGCTTTAATTTTTTTAAATTTATCACTCGGTTCTATTATTTCCAATAGACTGAATATTGACGAAAAATATGTAAAAATTTCCTGAATTTGTTTGAATGCTGGTTTCGTATTCATTTGAATGCTGGTTTAAATATCTTGTAAAAACCTTAGATTTTAAAAACTGCAATACTAAATTTGTTTTCAGTATCTTAGAACATAAATACCATTACAAAAACTTTTTTTTTTCTTTCGTAAACTCTTGAAGTACTAAACGCTAACGTTAAACTTAAAGTAAAATGTATAGGACTTTCTTTAACTTAATAAGATATTTTAATTTTTTATTCAAGTTAAGACACTGTGAGAGTCTTAAATTAAATAAAAAATCAAAATATTTTGATCTTTTATGTTGCTTTTTTTATTAAAGAAATTTAGCGTTGCGTAATTTATGGGCGATCTCTATTAAATCTTTTCAGGATTCTTCTAAAAAATCATTAGTAAAATACTCCAAAGAACCTTTCCTTAAATCTTTTAAATTTCTAGAGCCAGTGGTTGAGAATGAATTGAAAACCTTTTCATATAGGAATTTTTTTCCTTTGAAGGATTTTATTAGAACCATTTATATGTTAAAGAACTGTGTACCAGATAGATACTTGCAATATAGTTTCAAAAAAATGTGACTACGCAATAATCATCAAGAGCTTTATCATGATTATTTTTTAGCATTTTAGCTTCATTTGCAATAAAGTCAACTTAGATACAAAACCCTTCAAGTTAAATGTAAGTATCGATGGAGTAAAAATAATTCAAGCAAATTGTAACTCCTAAACAATTTTTAGATTTTTTTTTAGAAGCATTTTTTAAAGAAATTTTTTAGGTTTTTGGCTACAAGAAAAAATTTGATATTTCTTTTCAATAGTTCCTTGAAATTTTTTACTTTTAGGTTTTTTACATAAACATTAAGAATGAGAGCAGCATTGAGAGCAAAAAGATTGAGGATATTTTTCTATTATTTTAGCTTTCACGTCATATTTTATAACATATTTAGGATATTATTCTATCTTTGACTTAAATAAATCATTCAAAGAATATTTTTATTTGCCATATCAGCATTTATTTTTTTTTTTATTATTTTTTTTTTTTTCGCTCTCATTTATCTGAAACGTTTTTCACTGCAACGGCTTGTCAATTTTTATCAACAGGAGAAAAAACCACAATCATCAATGATTGATCAATAATTTTAACTTTTTTTTTTTTTAAGTTGGTAATTTTTTTTATCATTTGTTGCTTTTATTAAGTACTTCCTTAAAAAATATTATGTATTTTCGAAGCTTTTGTGGTTACCAATTCTGTTTGAAAGCTTTTCTTGTTATTTACAATACTTGTTCCGTCTGAAAATCGAGCTTACTTTGGCTCGCTTATGCTTGCTCTCGTTGTTATTTATTTTTCTATATCAACTCAAATCCTTTTTATTTATTTTACTTTTTATGTATTTAGCTTTTAAATTTACAATACCAAAATGTATAAATAATTTTTTTCATGGCCGGGGCAAAAGGAAGACAATGGTAGTCTTGTCAATTAACTCAATATTTATACCATATTTAAACTGTTTTTTTAAACAATTTTTTAAGCAAAATATTTTTTTAAGAACTGGCTTCGTGACTTTAAATTCGGTATAAAATAAATGAAAAATACAGACAAAAAATAATAAAAAGTACATATAAAGAAAGAAAAAGAAAACGTTTTCTGTAGGACTTAGATTAACTAACGTTGATTAGAAACTTAGGTAAAAGTAATCTAAATTATGAATGCTGTAATATTGATTATCCTAAATATCCACACAGAAGTGTCTTAAAAAATATCCACACAGAAGAGTCTTAAAAAATATCCACACAGAAGAGTCTTAAAAAATATCCACACAGAAGAGTCTTGAAAAATATCCACACAGAAGAGTCTTAAAAGATATATAATAAAGATGCCGTTCATCTTAACAATAAAAGAAAAATCAACACAGATGAAAGGGTAAAAAAAGTTGATAAAAATATTGTTGATAACATATCAAACTCAAAATGCTTCATTCATAAAGATATTTTTAACATTTTGATAATTATATATTGGTTTTTTCAATTAAATAATAATACAGCAAATTGGAATAAACAATATCGATTAAGCTAACTAGTTCTTTCTTTTTTTTTTAGGTGCCTCAAGAAGACCTAACGGTCTTGCCTTAGAGCGGGTGTAGTACGGTTCAACGGTCTTGTCTTAGAGCAGGTGTAGTACGGTTCAACGGTCTTGTCTTAAAGCAGGTGTAGTACGGTTCAACAGTCTTGTCTTAGAGCAGGTGTAGTACGGTTTAACGGTCTTGTCTTAGAGCAGGTGTAGTACGGTTCAACGGTCTTGTCTTAGAGCAGGTGTAGTACGGTTCAACGGTCTTGTCTTAGAGCAGGTGTAGTACGGTTCAACGGTCTTGTCACAGAGCAGGTGTAGTACGGTTCAACGGTCTTGTCTTAGAGCAGGTGGGAATAGCATTTAACTAAGAAGATCACGCCTACTTCTGACCGATGACACAAAATATGCTCAGAGCTCACATCAAACCCTGGATATCTTGGTTACTTTTATTTTATAAATGAAGTAAATTTAAAAAATGTTGGCAAATTTACTTATAAACTTATAAACAATCTGTATTTGTTCATACGCCAAACTGTTACACAGATAATCTATATTGCTTTTGTGTTATGTTCCCAGGCTCCAATAACTACAATTTTTCACATTTTTATTTAAGCATCAACTAAAGTTTCATGTAAAAAAAAAAAAAATGCAAAAATATCGAGGAATTGATGATAAAAGTTGTTTAATATATCGATGGCATCAACAAAATGCGTTCAGCGCATTTTTAACAATTATATAATAAAGTTTAACTGATAGACAATAACTATTACGGGTATCAAAATGAGCAACTTCAAACTTGCAATTAACAACTAAATCTATGTTTTAATAAATTTGCAATGAAACTTGCAATTTATGATTTAAATAATTATTTCTTGTGTTATATTTCATTTAAACTGCTATTCAAAGACTTTTTATATTTTTATTTATTTTTAAAAATAAATTAATTTCTTTTAATTTCTATTACACAATATTATACGGATTATTTTTAATAATTATTTATAATAATATTTTCTATTTATAACATTATTACTTGCAATAGTTTTTTTTTATCTAATATTTACAGGTAAATGCACCCCCAAAAACTAAGGCACCCAAAAACAGCGTGGTCCGTTCTACGGCTATAAAAATATAAATTTAAAACCGTAAAAGAAATATTTTTTGATATAAAAGATGTTTTAACAACAGTTAATATAGAAGAAAACAAATATAACAATAAAGGAAATTTTTTTAAAAGCGTTTTAAATTTAAAAATTATATAAAATTTTTGGAATTGAAAATAATGGAATTAAGAATAATTGCTATAAAATAGTGGTTTTTTAG